CGTGGGGATCCAGCCCGTCGATTGGCACCAAAATCTCGACCACGAAAATGAGGCCGATTTTTGGCAAATTGGATGATGTAACCATCATGATTTTTGGCGAAAATCGTGATGGAATGGATGTCCTTTTTTCTGGTGCCAATCGGTTGGCAGGACTCTCCGCATCACGAAATGACATGCCACGCCTCGATCGGCTGCCGTATAGCTGAGATATAGCTTACAGAAAAAAACCAGTATTTGCATGGTGTGCAAATCCAAATCTTCGGAAGGCTATATCTCAGCTAAATAGGGCCAGATCGGCGAAGGACCTAATCTCCCAGGATCGTGGGGATCCAGCCCGTCGATTGGCACCAAAATCTCGACTTCTAATATGAGGCCGATTTTTTGCAAATTTAATGATGTAACCATCATGATTTTTGGCGAAAATCGTGATGGAATGGATGTCCTTTTTTCTGGTGACAATCGGTTGGCAGGACTCTCCGCATCACGAAATGACATGCCACGCCTCGATCGGCTGCCGTATAGCTGAGATATAGCTTGCAGAAAAAACCAGTATTTGAAGGATGTGTAAATCCAAATCTTCGGAAGGCTATATCTCAGCTAAACGGGGCCAGATCGGCGAAGGACCTAGTCTCCCAGGATCGTGGGGATCCAGCCCGTCGATTGGCACCAAAATCTCGACCACGAAAATGAGGCCGATTTTTGGCAAATTGGATGATGTAACCATCATGATTTTTGGCGAAAATCGTGATGGAATGGATGTCCTTTTTTCTGGTGCCAATCGGTTGGCAGGACTCTCCGCATCACGAAATGTCATGCCACGCCTCGATCGGCTGCCGTATAGCTGAGATATAACTTACAGAAGAAAACCATTATTTGCATGGTGTGCAAATCCAAACCTTCGGAAGGCTATATCTTAGCTAAACGGGGCCAGATCGGCGAAGGACCTAGTCTCCCAGGATCGTGGGGATCCAGCCCGTCGATTGGCACCAAAATCTCGACCACGAAAATGAGGCCGATTTTTGGCAAATTGGATGATGGTTACATCATCTCGACCACGAAAATGAGGCCGATTTTTGGCAAATTGGATGATGTAACCATCATGATTTTTGGCGAAAATCGTGATGGAATGGATGTCCTCTTTTCTGGTGCCAATCGGTTGGCAGGACTCTCCGCATCACGAAATGACATGCCACGCCTCGATCGGCTGCCGTATAGCTGAGATATAGCTTGCAGAAAAAACCAGTATTTGAAGGATGTGTAAATCCAAATCTTCGGAAGGCTATATCTCAGCTAAACGGGGCCAGATCGGCGAAGGACCTAGTCTCCCAGGATCGTGGGGATCCAGCCCGTCGATTGGCACCAAAATCTCGACCACGAAAATGAGGCCGATTTTTGGCAAATTGGATGATGGTTACATCATCTCGACCACGAAAATGAGGCCGATTTTTGGCAAATTGGATGATGTAACCATCATGATTTTTGGCGAAAATCGTGATGGAATGGATGTCCTCTTTTCTGGTGCCAATCGGTTGGCAGGACTCTCCGCATCACGAAATGACATGCCACGCCTCGATCGGCTGCCGTATAGCTGAGATATAGCTTGCAGAAAAAACCAGTATTTGAAGGATGTGTAAATCCAAATCTTCGGAAGGCTATATCTCAGCTAAACGGGGCCAGATCGGCGAAGGACCTAGTCTCCCAGGATCGTGGGGATCCAGCCCGTCGATTGGCACCAAAATCTCGACCACGAAAATGAGGCCGATTTTTGGCAAATTGGATGATGTAACCATCATGATTTTTGGCGAAAATCGTGATGGAATGGATGTCCTTTTTTCTGGTGCCAATCGGTTGGCAGGACTCTCCGCATCACGAAATGTCATGCCACGCCTCGATCGGCTGCCGTATAGCTGAGATATAACTTACAGAAGAAAACCATTATTTGCATGGTGTGCAAATCCAAACCTTCGGAAGGCTATATCTTAGCTAAACGGGGCCAGATCGGCGAAGGACCTAGTCTCCCAGGATCGTGGGGATCCAGCCCGTCGATTGGCACCAAAATCTCGACCACGAAAATGAGGCCGATTTTTGGCAAATTGGATGATGGTTACATCATCTCGACCACGAAAATGAGGCCGATTTTTGGCAAATTGGATGATGTAACCATCATGATTTTTGGCGAAAATCGTGATGGAATGGATGTCCTCTTTTCTGGTGCCAATCGGTTGGCAGGACTCTCCGCATCACGAAATGACATGCCACGCCTCGATCGGCCCATAAGTAGCTGAGATATGGCCAAATACACCCGACGTAAAATGGCCGAAAATGACAAATTTTTAATCTGGATACTAGGCGAACAGAAATCGGAAGAAAGCAACTTCGTTTTGTGCGCCCCAAAAGTATGCCACACAAAGTGTAATATGCTAAAGTTTCCTTCTGCTGCTTTCTGTTCGCCTGGTACCACGGTCTGAAAATTGCTCGTTTTCGGCTACTTAAGCGACCGCAAGATGAGAGTTTGTAGTTGTTGTTGTACAACAACTGACAACAGCAACAAGTTACAACAAGGCAGCTATGTTTTCTTCTTTTCTCCGTTATTTGTAGGCCAATCTTAGCGTGCGACGGCTTTCTGTGATCGGAAGAAAATCCTTGATTTGATGAAGTGATTATGAAGGACCAAGGATCAAGGATATTTCCTCCAGTCATATATATCTTGTTTTCTCCGTTGTTTGTGGTCCGATCTGGGCGTTCTTGTGATCGGAGGAACATTCTTGATTTAATGGATATTTTCCTGTCGTTTTCTTCGCTATTTCTTCTTCGTTAATCGCTAGTACCACGGATTCTCGTAGACCCGAGAATATACCAAATCGTTTAGTTCTAACATTATTTTGTATTAGATTTTGTATTTATTTAAAATCCCGACAACTCCGCCATTTCTAAATAAAACCAGCAAGCTTTTTTAGTTATTACATATTTTTCCATTTTATTATTTATTATCATTATTAATTGTATTTTTATTATTATGCATTACACACCAAACCGACTTAACGGACACATTTCTATCATCATTTTACATCAACTAAATTCTTCAGTTTTTAATCATACTCGCATATTCGCATCGGGAACTCTTCTCGTTTATCCATTATGCAAAATATACGATAATTTCGACCTGTTGTTCGACTATATTTATCCATCCGCCCGTCCTTTGTTACGTGTTGTATATAATATTATGATGCAATTTCTGCGGGACGTAGACGGGGTTGCAGGCGGCACGCCTACCCAGGCAGAGGCTGAACGATTTTGAAAATCTTTCAATTTGATTGCCGCTGTATTTTGTATAAAAAAAAATTTTGTGAAATTTTAGTTCTTGTTTGATGCCTTGCGTGCCACCTGTACCAACGCCTGCCACCTGCCGTTGTTGCTGCAGTTGCTATTACAATATTGTATTATTATGCAATTGATTTTGCGTTAATTCTACAGTTTATGTCAAGTTTATATACAAAAAAATTCATCAACTACTCTAAACAATTTCAGTTTTGCCTTTGAATTATAACAATAGATTAATTACTCGTAAATTATCTGCAATGATTCCGTTGTGGTTGTGGTTTTTACGTTGAATGCCATTTCATACAATGATTGGTTGTCGGTTGTTCCTTTTTTCTTTTTCTTTATCTGGTTTTTGTTCTTGTTCTTGATTTTGTTGTCGTTTGTGAAATGCCTCGAGTTCTTTACAAATACATATATGTATACTTTCAATACGAAATGCTAAACTTTGGTTTTATGCTACAGAATGTGCACACAATGGCCAACACAATATATATGATAGATACTATATCCATAGACGGTAGTCGGTAAACTAAAAAAAAAATTACAACAAAAATTCAAATAAATTAGATCAAGTGCATCCTCAATTCAAGTGCATCATCCGTCTCTGTGTGAGCGTGTGTATGTGTGTAATTGTGTAGCTAAGTGATTGATTGATTGATTGATAGATACCGATATCGATATCGTAACGCTATCGTCTGATATTTTGCAAATTTTTGAAACCCTTGAGATAGCAGTTTATCCATATGGCTATTGATCGATCGGTTTGCTGCACACGCAAGGAACAGCGGGTTCTGGAGAGAGACAGAGAGAGAGAGGAACTAAATGCGGGCCAGCTCTGCAGGATATGCAGGATCTATGCTACATGGACAGTGCCCAATTGTTGTGTTTTTTGTTGGTGTTGGTGTTGGTGTGTGGGTTTGTGTGTGTTTGCCTTGTGCTTAAATATACAAAAACGAAAAGTAAATATTCAATAATTTTGGCATAAACTTAAATGTACTATAAACATTCATTGGTTTAATCGCTAGCAACGAATCTGAAATGCATTTTTTTGTTTTCCATTTTAATGATCTGTACAAAATGCAATTTTTCATAGCCTCTCAACTACTCGGAGGAAGCAGCAAAATAGTATTCATATTTGTTGTCTGGTTTGATAGATAAGATCTGGTTGACATGGAAGTAGGAGACGGGGCGGGGACCGCCTTATAAGTAAATGCCATCATTGGAGTTTCATCATTTAGCAACAATTTGAAAATACACAAGTGTCGTGATTGATTGATTGATTGATTGAGTTAAATAATACTTGGCTTAGTCGATATAAAGTCGCGTGTACACATGGAAAGTAGAGGGAAAAACTATTCAGCAGAGGGCGGATTAGGAGTAGGAGTAGTTCCAAAGAGTTTGAGTTGTAGATTGGTTTGTTTTCTCTATACATAAAATGCACCTAAGGACCGTTTAAAGTAGCATTAGCGTTAAATCGTTAGAGGCTCTATTCGATTAGAAATTCTTCAATTTTCTTCGGCCCTATTCTGCTTCTGCTTCTGCTTCCGCTTCCGCTTCTGCTTCCGCTTCTTGTTAAGCTTACAAAACTAGTTAAATACTTGCTATTTCCATAGTACATACATTTAGGTATATAAATTATAAAATAGTTTTGCGTGTAAAATATAAAATTTTGTGGTTTTCTTTTTTTTGTTTTGTTTTTGTTTTTCTTTTTCTTTGTTTGCTGTTGGTTTTTTCAAATGTTGTTGAATACGCTTAAACACATACATTTAGAGTAGAGTTCATGTAGATGCATATCTGCTGCTGCTGCTGCGGCTGCTGCTGCGGCTGCTGCTGCTGCGGCTGCTGGTTGGTATGCAACGATGCCATTTTAAAAAGTCTTACGAATTATAGTAAATATGCATATAAATGTATAATATATGTATAACTTTATGTACTATATATGTGTTGTATGTTTGCGTGTGTATGTGAAGGGTCAGTGTGTGTGTGTGTGACTCCTGGGACTTGCTGGGACTCCTCTTAGTCTTGCACCTCTCGATACGGCACCTCGGACGTGACCGAGAACGACTCAAAGTAATGATTCAAGAACTCAAAGGTCGGCCGCTTCTCGGGCACCGCATCCCAGCACTGCAGCAGCAGCTGGTAGATGTTGTCGGGGAAGTAGTGATTGGTAGGCTTTGGCATGCGGAAGCCGCGCTCGATATTCTCGATCACCTCGCGACTATGCATGCCCGGATAGGGCACCTGTCCGTACGTGAACAGCTCCATCAGCAGTATGCCGTACGACCAGACATCCGACTTGATCGAGAACTTGCCGTAGATGATGGCTTCGGGCGCCGTCCACTTGACTGGGAAGCGGGAGCCCTGCTTGGGACAGTACTCGTCATCGGCTATGACACGCGCCAGTCCGAAATCACAAATCTTCGCCACATTATTCTCGCCAATGAGAACATTGCGGGCCGCCAAGTCGCGGTGGATGAGCAGCTTGGACTCCAGATACTCCATGCCGCTGGCCACCTGGGTGGCTATATAGATGAGATCCTCAAAATGCAAGTAGCGGCCATCGCCCTCGCGTAGAAAGTCAAGAAGACTGCCCTTGGACATGTACTCCTGCACAATGTAGATGGGCTCCTCCTGCAACGTGGTTCAAGTGTTAGAAAGATGTTTTGATGGGGAAAGGGAGTTCGAAAGGAGTTCTAACCTGTGAGCAGACCGCGTAGAGTGCCACCAGGCGATTGTGCCGAAACTTCTTCATGATGGCCGCTTCTTGGAGGAAGGCAGCCGTGGACATGGTCCCCTCGCGCAGCGTCTTGACCGCCACATCGATGCTGTTGCGCCACTTGCCGTAGAAGACCTCACCAAAGTTGCCGCGTCCCAGTTTCCGAAGTAGCTGAATCTCCGATCGGGGTATCTCGTACTTATCACGCAGCTCTGGTCCCAGATCCCACATCTGTGGCTGGGGCTTGGGGCAGGGACGCGACAGTATGTGGCACAGGCCGAGGGCATTTTCTTCTCAAGAAAGGAACACACACAATCATTAGTGATGTGCACTCTTAAGAGCGATAAGAGATCTCAATACTCACTGCTGTACGCCATGACCAGAGCCTGGAGCGAGGGAAACGTCTGATTGGTGGCTATGTAGTAGCCGCCATTGTCCAGCGGCTTGATACGATAGTGCTTCACGTGGTAGCCGCGTCCATCCTCCCAGTCCTTCACCGACAACGAGTAGCCATTGGGATTGTGTTCCGAGGGGCGGACAAGGAAGGTGCCACGCGGATTCTCCTCCGCCAGCAGCAGCTTGTCCGCCTCCTTGCGCAGCACGTTCTCAAAGAACCAGCTACAGGGGAAAAGAGGAGCACGATTAGAGAAGGATTCTTCAGGAGGGCTTTTCACTTCGATGCTTACTCTTCACTGTTGACGCTGCGCTCCTCGGCCACAAAGTTCAGCGGGATGAGTCCCTCCTGGCGCGTACTCAAATTGACGACGCGCCACCAATCGGATTCGGTGTCGTCGATGACCTCCATGCGGTCGCCCTTCATGAAGCTCAGGTCGGATTCATCGCGGGACTTGTAGTCGTAGAGCGCCACCACAACGCGCTTGAGGACGACACCAGGAACGCCGGCTGTGGGCAGGGAAAGGAGACAGAGACGGAGACGGAGAGAGAGAGAGAGAGAGACAGAGAGTGGAGCGAGAGTTAGTGGCAATTTTCTGGTGTCTGGCTGGCGTCGGGGTCTGTAAATTTGATTTGCAGCCGTAAAATTGCAATTTATGGCAACAAATTGGGAAATTTCATGTTACGCTTTTTTCTCTTATTTTTTTTTTTGTGCCCTGCCACGACCGAACCTGTCGCAGCCCATCAAAAGTTAATTAGAATTTAATGAGTTCAAGTAGGGGTTCGTTTTGGGTGGCAGACAGGGTGCCAAATGCAAATTGGATAGCATACTTTCTGGGGCCAGCGACCAAACCGCCCCCCCTTGGCGGGATCCTCCACGAAACAAAAACAATCGCATTTTGGTGCTGCCAAGCCGCAATTTTTGGCACTGACTTGCATTTGGCTAATTGATTTAGGCCCCACAGCAAGGCGAACGCATAAATAAACTGCAGTCGCAGTGCCCTGCAGACTGTACACGCTCGTACTTTTGTTGCCTTGGCCGCATCGCTGGAGGGGGCCATGGGGCCGTCGTCTCCTCCTCGTTCGTATGTGTATTATGTTTTTTCATCCATTCGAATGTTCAATGTTCGTGCTGACAAAGCCAGAGACACAGCGGCACAAATCACTGGCCTGGCCAAGCACTCAACCTCTCTCGGCGATTTTGATGGGTTTACACGACCTAAGCGGCTTTAACGGGGCATCGAGCAGCCCCAACCCCAGCCCCATGCCACGCCAGGGATAGAACTGCTGTCAGAGCTAATCGTTTGCATGCGAGGTCTAAGCGGGAGTGGAGCGCGGGAAAAGCCCCGTGACAGGTCACATCAAAATAATATGCCATTCAGAAATAAAACGAATGTGCACTAGTTCTTTGCCCCCCCAAGATGTCAGTGCTGAGAAAAGGATGATTCCCTTTTAGTTCTTGCAGTTTTCACACAAGTTTTCCGCTTGCTGCAGTAGTCATAAGGTCAGACAGCCTCGTACTACAGTGGTGGCAAGGAAGGATCGGAGTTTTCCATATTATACGTACACAATGTCGTCATATTTTATGCAATATCCCACGCCGCAGTGGCGAAATTAATTCAACCCCCCATCCAAATATCGCCGCCACCACATCATATCGTTCCGTAACCCCTTCGTGGCGGTGGCACGCACCCTAGAAGGTGGTCAAGGTTAACGACTGTCATCGTATTACCCGTGCAAATATGGGAATTGCGTTGCTTACTCCGGCATGCCACCAGCCACCTGCCACAAATGAGTTTCCTTGGGGGGCCTCCAGGGAGTCAGGAAGTGGCAGAGGGAGACTGACTCTAATTATGGCTGTTGCAAGTAGGTTGCTGTTGCTTCGTTTCGCTGCCAGCACATTACGAATAAATATGTATACAAGCCCAAGGCCGCCAAAGGTTAAAGCCAATCTCTGTGGCAGGCAAAAAGTCAAATTGCTAATTAAAAGCAGAAATTACCGCTGCCATCGCCCAACATCCCCCAACATCCCCCGACCCCAACCGTGTAACCCCATCGGGGAATTAGACCCCAAACTAATTACGAATGCATGATAATACGAATATTAGATCGGGAAAAGGTCTCGCCCGTCCACTCACTTGGTGTGGTGCGGGTCCTGATGATGTCAACGCCGGCCTTGCCGCCAATTTTCAGTGGCCCGCGATGGTTGGGATCCGGGGTGTAGCGCGAGTCCAGGGAGCCGCCGTTGTTGTGCTTCTGGACAAGGCCGCCGGCGCCAACGCCACTGCCGCTGTTGATGTGCGTCTGGCCGAAGGTGTAGTCGGACTTCTTGTACCCGCCCGTGGGATAGGCCAGAGCCAGCTCCTGATCCTGGCGCTTGCTGCAGCAATGGTTGCCCATGATGATGGCGATGCAAGTGGATGTCAGATGTCGGATGTGGGTGTGGATGTGATTCCTGTTCCCAACTTTTGAGCCTGTTACTGGTACGATTCTCAGTGTTGCTGTCTCTCTCGGTTTCGTGGTGTATTCTCAGCCTTCAGCCTTCAGCTTTTCAGATTGAACAACACATATTTGGCATTTACGGGTCTGGTGTTGTTGTTGGTGTTGCTGTTGGTGTTGCTGTTGTTCTTAACAATAATTAAAAGCTGGTTGCTGCCGTGTGTGCTGCTGCTGTGTGGGTGTTTACTTTAGTAGTGGTTTAAACTATCAGTCAAGTGGGTGTTCCCGGGGGCCTCTCTGCAGGTGCCACAAGGTTCGCATCAAAAGTTGCAGTTGGAGGGCATTGCCTTGAGTGTGTGTGGATTTTCGCAGGATCGCAGGATTTCGGGACTGCAGCAGGGGTTCTGTCTATTCGCTGTGTGTGTCGCTATCTGAGTGTCCGGTCCGCAAAAACGCATCTCGGGTAGATACAAAAATGTTGTTGCTCTCCGCCTACTGCCGCTGCAGCTCCTCGTCGGACATCTGCTGCTGTTGCTGCTCCTGCTGCTCGTTAGTCCTTGCGGTTTGCGACAGCGACTGTCTGCACATTGCTGCACCTGCAAAGTGAAGTTAAACAAAACCAAGAGCCAAAATTAGTTGACGTTAATAAATATTCATTAAATGTGCATTTGCCAGACAAAGGACTCTCTCCCTCCCTCCCTACCGCTGGCACTTGCCAGTCGCCAGTCACTGACCCATGTCCATTCAGCCAGACCAGCCGCAGCCGCAGCCGCAGTGGCAGTGGCAGTGGAGGAGTCTTGCAATTGTCCTGCATCCGGCGCTGTCTAAACGTTTTTGGCACATTATTGCACTTGACTTGGTCCCAGAGGACATCCATCGCAGGGCAACTCTCCCCCGCCCACCCCTGGACCCCTGTAAGCTGCTGCCAGCGCATTGGAATAGAGATGCCAAGCGATTTTTGGAACACTTTAACATTTAAAATAATACTGATTCATTTTTATGCGTTAATCTACAGATTACTGGTTTTTACTGTTCATTCTGCAGCCCTGGGACCGATCGTTGCCGCCTGCAGCCCTGAAGCGTGCGTGCAAGTGGGACAGCAAGTACACTTTTAGCGAAGAAAAGGAAGAGCGGAGAGCGGAGAGAGAATAAAGTTGATCCAAATTTAAAGAGAGCCCAGCAATTGGTTGCAGAAATCACAGCTATCACCGGTTGTTCGGCTCGGCTCTGCTCGGCTGGGCTCAGCTCGGCTCTACGCGGCTCGGCTCTCATCAGCCAGAAGGCAACAACAGTTGCAGACCAGCAGCAGCGGCTCGCTCTCGACGATCCCACAATAGCCACAAAACAGCAAATGCACCAGCAGGCAGGCAGGCAGGCAGCCAGGCAGCCAGGCAGCAGACAACAACAACTGCAGTTGGAAATGCTGCCAGCTGGAGAGGCGGCTCAGGCAGGCATGGCACTGTCCTCTCCCTCTCCACTCCTCCTCCTCCTCCGCTTCGCATTGCTTTTGTCTATTGACTGAAGCCTGGCAGGCATCTGTTTATTGTTCAATTGGATAATTATGGTCTCCAATGGGCGGAGTGTGGAGTGCAGAGTGTGGAGACTGCAGTGGAGAGCAGATGAGAGATACGAGAGCGGGATAGAGCTGAAGAGAGGAGTGCGGCGGGCGGCGTGTGGCGTGTGGCGTGTGGCGTGTGGCGAGGCCAAGGTTGAGCCACACAACCACAAAGTAGCAGAGGAGTGCGATTATAGCTGTACATCTCTTTCCCACTCATCGGACTGGACAACACTCCCCGGGCAATTTCGATTGTTGTTGCTTCTGATGCAGTTTCACATTTTAATTGTTATTGTTGCGCATTTGTTGTGTGTCTGTCGGTCGCTTGGTCTCTGTGTGTGTGTGTGCAGCTGCCATGAAATTGTCCCTCTGCTGCTGGCAGTTGCGACAGCGGGGAAGGATGCATTTTGTGGCATTAGCTAATATCCAGTCATTGTGTCGCTCCGCATGGCAGGGCATCAATTATTAAAGCCATGCTTTAGCCAGAGACTCAAGTGGGGCTCAAACAACTGTCATTCCGAAAGCCGAACGCAACGAGAATGGCCAAGAAAAGCCATAAAATGCCAATCGAAATGAAAATGGTAGGAAAGTGCTGTTTGCTGACGAGGCAGTGCCGGTGGCACGGCCAGTGAAGAGCGGCAACAGTGCCCCCGGGCTGGGGCTGGGGGACGGACCACTTTGTCTTGAGATACCCGTATGACATTTACTAAAAGCAGTTCACAGCCCAAGGGACAAGCAGTGGGTGGATCCCGTATGACATTTACTGAAAATACTACCACAAGCAGTTCTGCAAAAAACAGAGACAAGCAGGGACTTTATTTTAGAAGTGTCTTTGTCGGTCATTCTACAACAAACATTTCACCGAACATTTGATAGGATTCATCTGCAAATCAGTCACGAAGTTCATCGCCCAACCACAGGCAGGGCTTGATTGTGGTTAAGCAGTTCACTGCTTAGCATTGATACACGTAAATGTCCTGCCCTTAAGCAGAACGGGACTAATGTCCTGTCGCGACGTCTGCCCTTATTGTCCTGTCTCTCTCGCTCGCTCACAACTTGATAAACACAACGTGCAACGCTTTAAAATCCACCGTAACAACAACAGCAATAAAAGTTTTGTATGGATTTGCACATAAAAAAGTCAAAGTTTATTTTTTCGGCGAGTTCATGAACCCAGCCACAACAACACCGAGAAAAGTTTCACGGAGGTCAAGCAACCTTCTCCACGGCGAACCGAACGTCAGGCAGACAAACAGACGGACAGACAGAGAGGTACCGAATGGAGAGCAGCCAAAAAGAGAAGCTGTACTGTTTGTTGGGAAATTCTATATCATTATATCTTTATGGTACTCGGTACTGGTGCTTGGACTCGTTTAAACATAAAATGTCACTGACTGGATTACAGAGAAGAAGAGCACTAATAATAGATAGTCTTTTGAGAGCATTAAGCCCTGCTTGTTGATAGTGTCGTGTCCACTGCTTGGGAACTCGTGCAATCAACTGCTTGCCACAATTTTCACAACTAATGTCCACTCATTACAAAGAATGGAAGCTGGAAAGTTGTATACATCTCACAGGGGGATGTCTGGGAATCAGCCTCGAGTAGTGTTTAGACAGTATCGACTGCTTGTTGGAGTCTTTTAACTGCTTTGGGCCGACGCTAAACTGCTTGTCGCAGTTTAGATCCCTGCAAAGCAGCTCTAAAGGGTATTCACAGTACGCTCTCCTCTGGCCCTAATCCCAGCTCTTGAGTAATGTTCTTGGGGATTACCGCTTGGCAGCTGTTTTGTTACTTTGCTACGCCCCCTCCTCCGTGGGACGAGCCCTGGTCACCTGCGCCGTCCACAGTCTCTGCCAATGGCCGACAGGTGGCGCAGTGTGCCTAGAGAGCGATTTATAACCCTTCCACTCACCCACTCACACACACGCGCACAGAAAATGTAGCGTATCAAAAGCTCAATTTAAATGGAGGATGACGTGTGGGACGGGACGGGAGAGACACACCAAAAATACGATACGAATATTTCATAGTTGATGTGTGGCGTGAATGGAGAAGGGGTGAAGGGGTGAGGGGGAGAGGGGAGGTAGTAGTAACAGTAAAACGTTGCTGCCAGTGTTAGCAATTCTCGGATTCTCTCTCCTGCTGACAGGCAAGCGGTACATTGAGAGGGTTTATCGCTGTGTGTTTTGTGTGTGTGTGTGTGTGTGACAGATATGGTTCATATTCGAATGTCTCTGTGTGTGTGTGTAACATGAAATTGTAATTTTCTATTTCACTTTTTGTCCGTGTGTGGGTGTGTGTGTGTAGATGGATTGTTGTTATTCTAGGCTATAGTTATGGCTGTTGTTGTTGTTGTTGTTTTGGCACACACAAGCAATGAATTTCCATTGTTGAAGTTGACAAAACGAAATGAATACCTAATTGGAAATTGTGGCTTTGAATGCGCCTGAAGGACGACAACAACCGAGCGACGAGCGACAAGAGACGAGCGTCGAGCACCCCTCGAATATTATGAAAGCGGGGGTGTGGGAATTTATCTTACCAGATAACTAAAGATGCAAATCCAACAAAGAATAATACGACATAATAAATTGAAATCAACAGCAGAGAGAGCGAGAGAGAGAGAGACAAAATGTCCAATCAAAACAAACTTTTTCGTTCATTTCACTATCCCCCCCACAGCAGCACACACACACATTTTAAACAACACCCTCTTTCCCTCTGTCCCTCTCTCTCCCTCTGTCCCCACTTGGCATATGAACTACTTTTGGCAGATTAACAGACAGTCGTCGTCGTCGTCGTAGTCGTCGTCTGTCCCTAAATAGTTTTGGCCAAAGCCTTCTTCCACCCGAATAAAATCAAATTTTATGCTAAAGAATGTGATTCCCCCAGGGGGCTCCACCGCATCTCCCTCTCCCACCCCCTCTCCCACTGGGCAACCGCATGTCAAGGCAAATCCTCGAGGACATAAAGGCATTAACTGTAAATGCCGTAATGCCGTCATTTCCTGATGACAGGGACCCTCCCCCGCCCCCCACCGCAAGGGTCCCCCCACACAGATACAAAATGATATGAAAATGTAGAACGTTGAACGCTGAACGTCTTTGGCAGTCCATTGGGTGGGATTCCGTGGAGGGGTCTTCTTTGGGGAGGTTCTGTTCTAGAAATGGTTCTGTTTCGCCCACATTTTTTTATTGCGCCTCCATTATTATTATACTGTGGGGGGGGATCCCCCGCAGGCCCCCCAGACGTCGTCAGCTGTAGCCACATTGTTGCCTCCTTAAAAAGTCAATTTGTGTGTGACGTCTGCTTTGTCGTCCTGTTGCCGTGCGGCACCCACTGCCCTGCTCCCCTCCCCACTCCCCACTCTTCATTCTCCACTTTCCCATTGTCTTGGCTGTGCGTTCAACCCGCAGTGACACAGTCGTTCACCTTTAAGCCTCACGTGCTATCGATTAGGCCGCAAACAGAAAGAGACACGGATAAACACGGCCAGGAACTACGGCCACAGACAGACAGACAGACAGACAGACAGAAAGACAGAAAAAGCTACAACAACGGACATCTGTTGGTGCGGAAATAATAAGTGTGTGCCAATGTGCGTATACTTCTCTCTTGACTGTAATGAAAACCACTCGGAACACTGGCTGGTTCGTGGCTCGACCCTCAGATACCCGGTAATTGGTTGCTCAATGGCCATACATCCTTCCAATACACCCTTCTACACCCCCCTCCAAGTACAGGGTATTAAACACACAATAAATTCTCAATTTATTTATGCCCCAATGGCAGCTTCTGCTCTCAAAGAAGGCCCCCCACATCCCCCCACCGCCCCTCCCGGCACTCGTGTGGACGCTGACATGACAAGCAGCTCTTTGAATTGAATTTGTTGCATAAAACATTGCAATCCTTGCTTAAATATTCCACGGAGATGAATAAAAGTGCAATAAATAAATGAACACATAAATACATCAAATATATTTATTTGCACAGGTTCTTTTCACAGGTTCTGAAAAAAGTTCTGTTCAAAGCAATGTAAA